CAATGTCTAACAGGAGTTGGGGTTCCTTCTCTAAGCAATTGTCTTGGCACATAGTCAATGGATATGTCAATCTCAGAATATTACATTGATACTTAAAGATACTGTACCAGGGAAATAGCTTGTATTGGCTTGCAATCCATTTATATTCAGCATGTAGAGACAAGTCAATAAATCTTCATTAGTAACACTATCAAGATCAACCAGTAAGTCAAAGACCAACATTTGTCACAGATTCAAAAATAAATTACATTTTTGAAAGAAAGGGAAGATGGAAAACATGTGGTATCAGATGCAATATTTGGATAGAGCACAAATTAAATTGTAGGAATGTAAAACTATATAATCCATTTTATAGAATTCTGTAAAATTAAGGTGGTGAAAAGTGGTAAAATGTAAAAACTGTAGCTGACCTCTGTGTCTATGAGGAATTAATTAAAATTGAAATAGGGGTTTCTCACACTTGGAGAAAGACAGTGGCAAAGCCTACCCTTCATTATGAATTGAGGAATTTTAATAATCTGAAAATCTTTGTGACATCACCCCCATCTCTGCCTTCTTATTTTCTAGCAGCAACAGCTTCCGGTTTGGAGCCTGGTCTGCTGACATTTTCTACTCAAGCATTATTAGTTTGCTTTTTGAAAGAGAGTCACAAGGTCATCATACAAACAGGCTATATTTAAAAGTTGGTTATTAGCGATAGGAAAGATACTTTTACATGGAAGCTCGTTATCTGTTTTCTCTGGCTGGTTCACGACACCCACTTCATGGTCATGAATTCTGGTTCCTGATAACAACATAGAAGAAGGTGAGCTGAGAGGCTGAGACCTGGAGAGCACCCTTCTTGGGTGTCCAGTCTGAGAGCCCCACTAGGACTCTGCTCACTTCTGGCCCAGCAACTGAGGCATAGCTATGGCAGTTCTGGGACTTCAGAGCCTCTGTGTCTGTTAATTTCAGAACGGAGTGGGTGTGGGAATGATGAGGTATTCAAGTCCTACCTATTAGCTCTTCACCCCTGTAGAGGTCCCTGAGACCCTAAGACTGTGAAGGAATTTGGACCAGGACTGCTGAGCATCCCGGGACTCCCACGGGAGTGTCCCAAACTGCCTGTCCACTGGAGATGCCCTTGCCCTGAGCCTGGGCTGGACTAGGTGGGACTCAAAATCTATTATCTTCTCCATATCTCCAGCCCCCATCTGTAAATCAGGAATGAAAGAGAGTATGTTTGCACCACACTCTATTGTGAGAACTAAAGTAAAAGAGATCAAGTATAAGACACTTCTAACATAATGATCTATAGATCGTGTTGGTCACTTCCATGACCTTACTATTCATTTCTAGCTTTTGTTCAAAATAATGCTACATACTATGTAAGCACAATTCCCTGGTATACTCATTTAGTGCTCTTCAAAAATACCCTTTCTTGAACTTCTTACAGGTATACAACACAGAACACATGCATGCATTCATTCATTCAGTGACCATCTATGGAATGCCTGTTCTGTGCCATGTTCTTTCCTAGTCACAAGGCATACAAAGACCTCAAGGAACTCAGCCTCCAGTGAAGGAGACAGGTAAGTGTATAGAGAATAGCCGTGTAGGACAGTGAGTACAATCACAGAGGGAAGTGCTAGTTTTGTACATGGTTGAAGGACACTGTTTCGAGACTTGAGAACTGAGGTCAGAAAAGGCCCATCAGAGTGAGGTGACCGAATCTTGAAGAATGAATTAATGGAACCTGGCAATGAAGGTGAAGAAATGTGTATCAGGCAGAGGAAAGAGCCTTTATAGCCCAGACACTCATGGGAGGAGGTTACACATGACTCAGTAAGATAGGCGAGAGGAAAGTTGGATAGGAAGGTAAGGTCTAAATCTCAAAAGCCCTTTCAGAATATACTCTAAGTGCTGATTTTCATACTAACAGTCATGGGAGTCACTGAAGGGTCTTAAGCAGGATCATGTCACGGAATGGAAGATGCATTAAAGGCAAGGACAGGGTTCTAGACCCTCTAGTTGAGGCAACTTTGCTTGAATTAGAAAACAAGGGATGGTCTGACACAGCTGTGAGCCAGGGCCTAAAACAGAAGGGTTGAGAGTAAATTGGATTTTTGTCTCCACTGCCCCTCAGATGGGTGCTTTGTGCTGTGTACACATTGTACAGCTGCATGGCACCACCCCTAGACAGAACAAAGTAAGCAATTTTTGCCAGAAGAGTGGCAGAAATCATGAAATTTTTTTAAAGTTAAAGCTAGGGCCTCTTTGGTGGCTTAAGGGGTTAAGTCTCAGCATTATGAAGCTATCGGCAGTCACTGCAGCACGAGTTCAATCCCCGGCCAGGGAGCTAATCCACAAGCCACAGATCCTCCTGTCTCACCAACTGACCCCCTCAACAATGTATTTCAGTCAGTCTGCCTGTTCTGCTCCCCCTCTGTCTCTGGTGACTCTTCTCACCCTCCTGTAACTCTCTGGCCTACACCCCAGTTATTGTATGCAAAAATAAATAAATTTTTTTTTTAAGTTAAAGATATAAGAAGTGCTGGGTCTCCCCTGGCGGCGCAGGCAGTTGAGCACAGCGCTGTGAAGCTGTCCGCAGCCTCACAGTGCCAGTTCGATCCCCGCTGGCCCGCGAGGGTCCCACATGGCGCAGCCCTCTCCTGTCGCTCCCTTTGCTCCCCTCAGCAGTGTATTTCGTCAGTCTGCCTGTTCTGCTCCCCACTCTATCACAGGTGAATCCTCTCACCCTTCCACGAATCTGGCCTGTTCCCCGGTTCTTGTATGTATGGATAAATAAATAAATCTTTAAAATAAAAAAAATATAAGAAGTGCTTATAAGAGAGAAGTAAGAGATTTGGTTACAAGTTGTACTAGGAGGAATAATGGGGTGTCCCAGGTTTCAGGCTTGATTGGGTCCCAGTCATTGTGGTGAAAAACTCAGGTGTACTAACTTTGGGAAGAACTAATAAACTTCATTTATGTTTTTTTGCTTTGTATTTTTTTTCTTCTAAGCATATTGATTTGCCAGTCATTTACACAACTATATAAGTAGGGGAGTACAACTTCACACTTTCATATATGCACATACTTCACTCACCTCCCATAAAAAGCCCAATACCACAACTCAATCACTTTGCCTGCCATATTGTCTCCTCCCTCCTCCAAACCCCCCTCTAGTAATCAGTATATTCTTTACAGTGTCTAAGAATTATCATTGTTGTGTTTTGCCCTGCGCAATTTCTTTGTGCAGCCATCTGTCCTTGGGCATTTAGGTTGGTCCCAGGACTTGGTTGTTGTGAATAAGGCTGCCAAGTACCTAGGAATGCATAAATCTTAAACTTCATTTTGGATAGGCTGACTCAGTGTTTCCATGGGACACCTAAGTGGAAATATCCAATAGATTGTTGAATATAGGTTATATTGCCTCATGATATTCATGTGGGAGTTATCAATATATAAAAAGAGCTGATATTGTGGAAGTACAGATCACCCAGGCCATAGGTAGAGTGGGAAAGGTGAGGATTTATTAAAGATAAATCAAATTTATCAAAGATTTCATTTCCATCACTTACTTCCTCATTGAGAACATCTATAATGGATAGTGGAAGGAACAGTGACCTCTTTCTTCTTTGATTCATTCTCTCTCTCTCCCACACCTGCTCCAACTCTTTTACCCCAACCCCCGCCCCAGAACAATGGTACTTGCCATTTGAAAACCTTATCTTAAGCTTCCTTACAGAGGAACAATTGACATTCCTATCAAAGCTGTTTTAAACATTAACTGATAGGATGCAGAGAAGCAAACACTCATAGTTTCTGGGAATGTGCCTTTGTCTTTTTAAGTCTGATTGGGCATAGTGTTGAAGCAAGCCTCATGACTTTGGCACTAGGCATCTTAGGAGCTGCTGTGTATCTCTGGCTATATCTGAGTTTGCTACTAAAATAAGGAAACTGAAGTGAGTATTGGATAAAAGAAGCTAAGCATGACCATGAATTGCAGACTATCTGAGCAAAATGGTGTTTCAATAGGAACTGCTCTTTTCTATCACCATCAATTAGAATAAATGCGTGAAGGCTGCTGAGCTTGAAAATGAAACATTTTCTGGACTCTGGCTTGATTGTGATGCTTTCTCTTGCAGCCGCGTGCTAACACAGAACTGTCCAGTAGAACCACATCCCGGTGGACTCTGAAGCAAGGTATGTGGAATTGTTAAAAGCAAGGACTGTAGTGACCTTGTTCTAATAATATGGGCATGATAATAAGCAAATAAAACCTAACACTTTCATTTATTTATTCACTCAATCTACAAGTATTTACTGAATGTATTTTACTATGAGGCACGTACTCTTAATTCAGACAACCTGTTTGCTACCTCCTTCTGTCTTTCACTAGGATGTCTGGTGGATTTGTTATAGGACAGGGAGAGGGGCAGCCCAAGCCCCGCAAACCTGCCTATTCTAAATGGGTTCTGCCATCCGCCGCATCAACACAAAACACATGAGACTTTAATGGGAAGGAACTTTAATAAAACTAGGAAACAATACAGGTAAGGCAAAGAGTCTAGTTTCTAAATGAAGCACCCAAAGTTACCCATCCCCTCGTGGGTAAAAGTCCATCCATATGGGATCGGCCCAGAACAAGGCCCCAAAGTCTACCACAAGTCTAAAACATCTTCCAGTGGGGACCCACAGAAAAGGGTCACAAACAACTGGACAAGCCCGGAAGGAAAAGAGCAAAATCAACATCAAGATAAAAACTGCCATTGTCACCTCCCCACGGGTCTCACCCACATCTGTGTCACCCAGTCCACGACCAAAAGACAAGCAGTTTCTTTACGTGTCTCTAGGCTCCATGCGCCTCCTCTAGGTTTCCTTCTGGCTCCATCCTGCTTCCTTCCTCAGTCCCTTCTGCAGTTTCTCCTCTTCCTGCTCAGCTCCACCCTCCCTTGGGTGGGGCAGGGAACCTGGAACTTCCCCCTTTCCTGGGGACCACCCTGTTACAGATTTACCTTTGTGATTTTCTCAGTCATAACCCTCAGTGGAAATACAATTTTATTTGTCCCAGGAGATTTCTTTTTACCTGCTTATAACTGTAAGTAATAGGGTTTTGGGGTTTGGTTTTTTTTTTTTTTTTTTGAGTACTAACTTTCAAGATATTTTTCTAATACAAGGGGAGGGTATTGTGATTCCTATGACATTAACCCACCCACATCAGAGGAAAATTAAGGCAGTGCTCTTGTCTGGATAGCTGATAGGAATAAGCTTATTAGTGTTTGCACATCCAGGGGAGTAATTATTGAATTCACAGAAGGGGAAGAATGACAACAAGTGTAGCGCCAGCTGTTTGGGGGCCTCTTGTCTTTTTGATATGGTTATTCTGTTTACTCAAATCAAACAGGAAGAGGCTGCGACTTCAGATTCACTCCCACTGGAAAGAAATAACCTGACTCTGGAAAGTATCAAGGCCTCTGTCTTTGACACCTGACAGGTAGGAACATAGTCTAAAAAACCAGAACCACATAGTCATAGATGAATAGAGTTTGTGTCCATTTCAAAATATTTCTGTCAAAATATTGACTATAAGGGTCAAAATTTGCAAGCGGACCATAGTTCTGAGGCATCCAGCAGAGGAAGGGGAGTGAGAAGGACCAAATCAGGGGAGGGAAGAGCACAGGGGACAGTGGTGAGGGATCATGGGTGCTATGGGAAGGGGGATAACTACCAGGACTATACCTGAGGGGCGAAATCAAATATTGTCCAAAATGATCAATGACGTAAGAAAATAAATTTAATTATTAAAAAAAATACAGACGGAGGCCTCTCTGGTGGCACAAGGGGTTAAGACACGTCATTAGGAAGTTATCCACAGCCGCTACAGCATAAGTTCTATCTCCGGCCAGGGAGGTGACCCACATGGCACAGCAGACCTCTCTCGTCTCGCACACTGCTCCCCTCAGCAGTGTATTTCAGTAGATCTGCCTGTTCTGCTCCCCACTGTGTCTCTGGTGGGTCCTCTTCTCACCCCCCCCACCCCCACATCTCTGGCTTGTACGCCAGCTTTTGTGAATACTGACTCTTTAACTGCTATGTAACACCCTTCAGGTTAACTACAAAGAGTTGAACTAAGGGTGGAAAGCGCAAGTGTGAGAAGAAGGCATTGCCAAAATGCACATTTATCTGAGCAATATACAGCAACTGGAAAATGGCACCTTGGTTAAAAGGGAATGATTGAATAGTACAAGATTATTCAGCTTTACAAATTGTTCAGAAAAATATCTATCATATTAACAACCTAGTACACAGCACTTTTTTTGTTCTAGGTAAGAATTAGATATACTTTTTGTATTTATGCCATGAAGTTTTTATCCCATAGATATGCATATAATTTTGCTAGCCAGTATATTTTTTAGATTTTTCAAATTCTAAATTCTGCTTCTAAATAAGCTGAAACTATGAAGGGAGATGTCTTCCTCTCCTCTGGAGCACATTGACCACGCCAGAAGCGAGTGTGGGTAGAGGATCCACGCATGGGTAGGGCTGGGGCAGATGGTAATCCAAGAAGCAACTTCAAGAGAATAACAGGTACAAAATGAAGCTTCTGATTATATATAAAGTGGATGCGCAGGGGGACAGGATGGAGATGCAGAATGAACCAAACAAGGGAAAAATAGCAAGGCAGCTTTGGAAAGGTGATTCTATTCCCTCAAATGTCTTCAGTTCTCTGTGGAGTCTGCTGAACAAGCATTATTTATCACCTGCTTCCTGTCTTCACACACAGGGTATCATTTTGAATCTGGGGACACCAAATAACTAAAGCCCAGACTACTATAATCCAGGTCATATACAAGGTTAATATAAGTACAGATTCTTTTTGATCTGTCAGGAGGAGACACTTTGTAATCTAGGTAATGTAATACATTTGTATAATAGTGAATTGATCTCATTTTACATAATTTCCTTTATAGCTGATAAAAATTTTATTTATAGAAGAAATTCCTTCACAGATTGGTCCTCCCTTTCCTTCTCTCATACATTGAAGCATTCTGGATGTTAGGATAGAAGTGATGTCTCATTTAAATGGTTTTTCTTTCTGACTCCACTTGACATGTCAGGTTATTTTCATCATAAAGGCCTATTTGAGAGTTCCTGACTTCATTCATTTGTCCGGATAAAGCTAATGTTCTCCTTTGCTCCTACTATTACAGGATGCAAGTGACACATACACCTTTGTTCCTATGGCACACCTATTGCGCTTTAAATTTGAAAAGGGTTACCTTAAAAGAATAAGCACTCTTTTCTGAAGGTCTATTTAGAGTTGCTATTACAGAGTTGTCTACATGTAGAGAAATAGTCTAAAAGATTCTTTATGGCCCTATTCAGTCCTTCAGTTCTCAAATTTTAAGCAGGGATTTTGCAACTTTCGTGACTGAGTAAAGTATGTTCATTTTGTAACAGGGTGGTCCCCAGGAAAGGGGGAGGTTCCCTGCCCCACCCAAGGGAGGGTGGAGCTGAGCAGGAAGAGGAGAAGCTGCAGAAGAGACTGAGGAAGGAAGCAGGATGGAGCCAGGAGACACGTGAAGAAACTGCGCTTGTCTTTTGGTCGTGGACTGGGTGACACAGATGTGGGTGAGACCCGTGGGGAGGTGACAATGGCAGCTTTTATCTTGATGTTGATTTTGCTCTTTTCCTTCCGGGCTTGTCTGGTTGTTTCTGGCCCTTTTCTGTGGGTCCCCACTGGAAGATGCTTTAGACTTGTGGCAGGCTTTGGGGCCTTGCTCTGGGCCAATCCCATTTGGATGGACTTTTACCCACGAGGGGACGGGTAACTTTGGGTGCTTCATTTAGAAACTAGACTCTTTGCCTTACCTGTATTGTTTCCTAGTTTTATTAAAGTTCCTTCCCATTAAAGTCTCCTATGTTTTGTATTGATGCGGCAGATGGCAGAACCCATTTAGAATAGGCAGGTTTGCGGGGTTTGGGCTGCCCCTCTCCCTGCCCTATAACAATTTCAGCCCAGCAAACAGCTTTACAGAAGATCACATCTAGTATTAAGAGAAGATGATACTGAAAACGTTAACTTTTTATTTGTCCATTTAATCATTTATCAAACCTTTATCAAAGAGACAAAATGGTTGGGTTCTAAGAGCTCAGCATACAAAGATGTGTATAACAGGGTCCCTGCCATTGTAGGGGAGACAGGCAGGTACACTAACAAACGCCATTAATGTGAGAAGTATAATTGCCCTATATCTCAGGTATAATGGTGGGCCCAGAGAGGTGATAAATGCAGGCTGAGGAATCAGAAAAAGACTTGACTAAGCCTTTCCAAGCAGAATTACTTCCTGTTGTATCCTGATTTGTATGGTACCCAAGTGATAAATGTGCAATAGAGGAAAATCTCTCTTCAAAGCAATCTCTCAAGTACCGAAATAAAACACTGCATCCTGGAAAGTAGGACTGCTTGTAATCACCCCTTCAGTCATAGCATTTGCTACAGGTGAAGAGGAAGAACTGCTTATTGCAAATGTGCATTTTGTACCTTTGCTGAAGAATGGATGTGACCTGCTTGCAGAAATTCTCTCCATTTTGAGAAAACTCCTTTAGGTTCTTGTATACTTTATTGTACTGAAAAAGAAAAGATGCACAGAAGGATTATGAGCACTTCTAAGGCTAGAACTCCCATAAATTCAGAAAGCTGCTACAATGATGACTGTCATTGTAAATGATGATGCAGCTCCGGAGCACACCTTTTAGATGAGTTCTTAAAGATTAAGTCTCTTCTGCCTGCATATGAAGGGAAACTGGAGAACTTTTCAAACATAAACCTACCCTACCTGTTTCTCCCGTAATCCAAAGGCAAACATCAGGAGTGGGGTGCACTCAGAATCTTGATTCCTGTCAACCTCTATTGTTCCCAGAAGGTCAAAAGTATTTTCTGCATAATCATTTTGGGTGTCCCCTCCTCCCAAAATCTAAAAGAACATTCCTGGGCCTTCTGACAAACCTTGAACCATTAAGGCAAATGTTTCTTGGCTGAGATATGAAAATTTAAGTGAGCATGTTACAAAATTTGTTCTACATCCCTCTATATATGATTTAACTCCAGTGATAAGAATGTTATAATGGTGAGTTGAACATTTTAGTAGAGCCAATCCTTTACATTTTTATAAATATTTTTATAAATTCATTTGTATATGAATTTACTGCAGGCACCAGAATTCCAAGCAAAAATTGTCACGATGTGCTTTAGAACTCCACAATGTCATTCTGAGAATGACATATGTAAAGGTAAACATTGATGATAATAGAGTTTTAGTACCCGAATGTATAGCGTGAGGGTCAGTTGATTTTGCAGCTTTCCTGCAGGTGATATAGGCTATGGGACAGTCCCAAGCACACTGCCCGTCATTTCCATTTGGGAAGATGTGAGAGCAGATTTTATTTTTCAAAATGAGATTTTACACAAGGGAACTCAACCCTGTGTAGATTGGACGTCACTCAAAGGAGCCAATACTCAAATATCTCAGCCTACGGCTGGATGCTGTGTGGAGACAGGAGAAGGGAAAAGGAACTCAGACTTAGCAAGTTCACAAACATGAAACCTGGGGACCGAGACAACTTTTCACTGGGATTGGTAGCACCTGTGTAGGGGCTCCAGCATAGCAAACATAGGCCCAAGGGCGGCAAAAGAGGAGGGATCTGATCTGCATTAATGAGACCTCATCCAGGGCCCTATCTTCTGGGATGGACTGGAATACCTAAGATGTAGAAACACAATCCTGTAGATGCCAAAAACTTTTATCTTTGTAGTGTAGTTTAAGTTGCCTCTGAATTTAGCATGGGGACCTGTGGTGGTAGACAGTAGATTTGGTAGACACACACAAGTAGCAAACAACTTCTCGAAACTGCCTGGGACACAAGACAGTGGTCAGGGTGCAAATCTCCTCCTAAGGACATCATTAGTTCCTAAAGTGCAGTTTGCAAAATCTCTAAACTGCAGGTACCAGGGAGGCATATGACTGAGGGAGGATGGGGTGGAGACCGTGAACAGGAAAGACAATTGTCACATCTCTTTAAACCACGGGAATGTGGCCCGTTTTACCAAAAAAGTTGAAATAAGGATTTACACCTGAAATATGACGTTTAAAAAGACTGGAGCAAACAATGCATATCATTTAAAATTCTCTGCAGAGAAAGCAAAACATACTTGTAGTGTAGCCTCTGTCATGAAGAAACAACTGACTCCCCTGCCAGTATTGTGGGAGCAAAGTCACTATTTGGCAACCCAGCTTTCTCATTTTGATTTCCATAAAAACAATTTGACATATATGAATTGGCAACATTATAAGATCTCCTTCTACTGCTTACAGGTACAATAGTGAGCATTTTAAAATTGTTTCACTTTTTGTTTACTCCTCTATCACCTGATTATTTTCACTAACTTCCCCTCTAAGCCTTTTATTTTCTTACCATATGCTAAAGAGCAGCCCACAGACACAACTAAGTACAGTAAGAAGAAAACAGATACATGTTTAGCAGGATACTGGCACCTAGAATAAGTCATTTCTTAGCCTCTCTACCCTTAGGGGTAGAATAGACCTAGATGCTTCCCAAGCAGGTGGGGGAGGCTCTATGTGGGGTATCAGTGAAGATTCTTCTTCCTCTTTTCTGACCCCTGGACTCAGAAATGATGGATGATCTCTAAGATGGTCTTCGGATGTGTGCCATGTGCTAAGATAGTAGAGCAGAGAGAGAGAAACATAAGCTCTGAGAAGGCACCACCTAGGCCCTCAGCTATACTTTTGAACTTATTTTCTATGTCAGTGAAATACAATGATAGGTTTTCTAAAGCCATGTCTTCCTTTTTAATATATATAGTTGAACATCGTTCTAACTCATACATAGTCTTAATTTTTTACCTTAATTTATAAGACATTTTATGTTTCACAAAATAATAATAAAATAAAAATGATATACATTATTAAGTCACAGAAATAGTAATGCTTTGCTTCTGCTCTCTAAACAACTATTTTTTCATCTTTGTAATTCCTTTGGTTATTCTTGAGCATTTAATCTTCCATGTGAACATTGATCTAAATATAATTTTTTTAAAAGATTTATTTATTTATTTATACAAGCACTGGGTACAGTCAGAAGCACAGGAGGGTGAGAGAATTCACCAGAGCCAGAGCGGGGAACAGAACAGGCAGACTGACGAAGTACACTGCTGAGGGGAGTAGCGGGAGCGGCAGGAGAGGTCTGTGCTCCGTGTGGGACCCTTGCCGGTGGCAGGGGATCGAACCGGCTCTGCAGAAGCTGTGGGCAGCTTCGCAGCCCAGTGCTCAACCGCTGCGCCACCAGGGGGATGCCCTCTAAATATAATTTTTTAATCCCTTTGGGATACTAGTTGGAAATGCATTACATATATATCCGTGTTTATATGTATTTATACATATTTGGTAATATTGATTTATTTTTTATGTTATTTAGACTTCCCATCCAAAGACATAGCAAGCCTTTTCATTTTCTCAAGTCTTATTTTATGTTCAATAAAATTTTATGATTTTGTTATAGGTCCTATGGCATTCTCATTTGATTTACTTAGAAATATGTCATTGCTAAGCTGAGTGTTTTATAGGTCACGTCCTATCTGCTTCTCTCTACAGCTCACAATAAAGCAGAAGCAAAGATCCAACAAACATCACAGGCCCTGGACAAGAGAGAAAGGTTTGAATGCCTGCTTATGAGTAAGTTTTTCTGCTCAAAAGGTGTAAAATCTGGGACTAGGGCTGCAGCTGGGAGAAGACAAAGCAGAGAGAAGGATTGGTAGGATTTGGAGATTTAAGAGTGAGGGGCTCTGAGGCCTGTCCCGGGATTGACCCCACCAGCCCACTGTCACCTGATGACAGCCTGCATCCCACAGTCCTGGGGAGGGAGTAGGAGATCACAGACATTATGTGTGAGAATGTGGGCTTGACGGGGAACACTTGCCTCTAACCAAGTGGACATGAGAAGAACTAGGCTGCAGGGGTTGCAGCATTTCCTAAACTCTCCAAGACACATTTTTAAAATACTGTCTCTAGGGCAGGAGTTCTAGAAGGGAGATTGCCCTGGAAATCTATAAACCAGTGAGGCAAAACTCAATTACTGTTAGGAAGGAGGGGGGCGCACTGGCAAAGTGGAGAGAGCCAGTATTTCCCAAGAGCATTCAAATTCAACTTGAAAACAAGAAGCTGCTCAAAGTACATCTTATGGCTTCAGTTGACCCTGGGCGGTTGGTTTATGTTCTGGAAGATGATTTTCTGTCATTTGATAACACTTGCTTTTTTCACATCAAGGCACAGAGAAAATGATGTATGTACTCAGACAACATGGTAACTGGACAAAGTTGTTCCAAGAAGAGGGAACTGACCTGTGAGCCCTGCCTAGCAAGGGCTGAAGATTTGTGTCTCAGGTTCACCTGTAATTCATTCCCCAAACCCCAGTATGGTCCAGGCACACACCAGTCAAGAAGCACTTCAGTAACTTACATTGTTAACTTAGCGATCAATTAAGAGCAGGATGCTCTACTCGTATTCCTGCACTGGACAGAATCTTTATCTTTGGTCCAGTGTGCAATATACTGGACACTCCTTGATACATGCTGAGATAAAGATGACATCAATAAAAAAAGACTTGTTAAGAATACTTTCATTTTTTCAGCTAACTGCTTTTTTTTTTTTTTAAGATTTATTTATTTATACAAGTACTGGGCACGGTCAGAAGCTCGGGAGGGTGAGAGAATTCACCAGAGCCAGAGCAGGGAGCAGAGCAGGTAGAAGGACCGAAGTACACTGCTGAGGGGAGCAGTGGGCGACAAGTGGGACCCTGTGCGCCAAGTGGGACCCTCACCAGTGGCCGGGGATCGAACCGGTGCTGCAGAGGCTGCGGGCAGCTTCGCAGCCCAGCACCAACCACTGCGCCACCAGGGAGGCCCTCAGCTAACTTCTTTAGAATCAATGATTCTCTATCTTTCATCCTGTGCTTTCTACAAAAACTTGAAGACGAAAGATATCCTTGCATAAATAAACATCAAAGCAGATCTCAAAGACCATCTCATCTCATCCAGCAGGTATGTGTGCATTTGTGTGTGTGCGTGTGTGTGCGTGATCAGGAAATCATTCATGAGACATATCTGCTTCAGGGGACAAAAATTTCTTGACCCTGGCTTTGACCCTCCTCTCCTCTCCTACCTCCCTTTCCTATCCCGCTCTCATCCTCAGGAGAAGCCTCTGAAGGGGTTTCAGTTGAGGCCCAATGAGCTGTTGAGACCCAATGAGCTGAAGATAACCTCATTAGTTAGAGTCAGAAATGTGACTAAATCAACTATGGAACCCATCAGAAAGAAATCTACTTATAAATGGCTGATAAGTAATGATCACACTAAGTTAACTTAGACTGGCATCTATCTTTATGTGCTAGGAGTAGTGCAGCTGGCTTCCTCATGTCAGCACCAGAAGGGTTTGCTCTGGTCACAGTGATGTGGAAGATGGTTTTTAGTGTTCTCTCCCTATCTGTTGACCTTTCAAATCCCCACCCTCTACCAAAAATCCATTCTAGGAAATAATCTCTTTATCCCACAAGGAAAGAATCTTATGTATCCACATGAATTTATATTAGCATGCTGCTGCTCCTTGGGGTCATTAATTACTAGGGGAAAACATGATGTTCCCCCTGCCCCCAATAAAGTGATTTCAGGCTGGTGGTATTTTTCTGAATTCCTAAAAATCCCTTCACATAGACAACTAGTATACAGTTATTTTTCATTCTGCCAATAGGGAAATGTTTCTGCTGGTGCTTGTAAACAATCTGTTGTATAAATATTGTCATTACACACAAGCTTAGCAATTTAGGCAATTTGAACCATGAAATGATTAGACAGATGATCTATAAACAATGTGACCTGCACTTTATCAACCTTGGGTTAGCTACTTTCTCTGGCTTTTCACAGTTTGAATGATTAAGTTTTTCAGTTATTCTACAAAAATCTATTTTCATTCTAGATTATTGATAATGATAATATTCAGAGAATTAAATAAGCCATAGCATTCCTTTCATATTTAATTAAGTAAGCATTTGTTGCATGCCTCTCGTGTGCCAGGCACTGTGCTACTCATTTCCTGTGAATTCTGATTTACGGGGGATGGGATAATATTTCAAAGCACTGCCCCTCTATAGGATTACCTGTGCTTATCAGGCATGTGTTTAATAATTGAAGTACCTACAGTGGGCTGTCCTGGATTATGAGAGAGAAAACAAGAAAGAAATGAATCTGAAACCCAGGTTGGCATCTAAGCCGACTGGAGAAATGTCCCCACAGCCTGGTAGTGTTTCAACACTTGATGATGTTAAGGGGAGAAGCTGACAGTGTGGACCCCAGAAGGTCAGTCTTGGCAGGTCCCTATCTGGAAACTGTGAGAGTGAGTAAAAGCAAAAATTTGATTATAGCTTATTGTTTGCTTTTGATCTCTAAAGTGTTGTTTTATGAGAAAGTACTACTTTTTAATGATTGGATTATGGAGATAATTTGATCCTGTTTATTTCCTCGTATATGGATGTGAGAATTATTTTCCTTGGCATAATTTTAAGTTTAAAAATGAAGCTTCTAGGCATTAAAGCATCAAGGCCCAGAGCCAATTCTTTTCTTTTTCAAAAACAGAACTTTAAAAAAAAAATTTTTTTTTATCTCCTTTAAATAAGTTCTGACAGTCTCAAGATTACTTTAAAGTCACACACACCACTTGGGCACTCTTTGTGCTACCGCGGTAACTAATAATTGACAGAGACACTGATCCAACTTTTGGGGTCTAAATGACCTAACTACCAGTCTACCTGGCCATTGGAACATGACCTAAAAGAAGAGATTAAATTTTTTTTATAATGGACCATTTTGGCAGTCTGATGAAACCCATTTTACTCAGAATATTTGCAAATATATAAACTAAAATGGCAGAATTATAAAAAATATTGCTATAGATTTATAAAAATATTTTAAAAAATCATTAAACTATATGAGATTTTTAACATATTAAACAGCAAGTATTAAGTATGAACCCAAACTTTAAAGTTACACTGAGTATAAACAATATTTGTTTTTCTATAAATTACCATGTTATAAAAAAAAATTGTGATTTTTATTGTTTACAAAGTCATAGACATTGCATTAGAACTGGGGTTTGTTGCTTACATTCAGAATTAAGGGATATTCTAAATTTCTGTTAGAAACTAGTACAAATGAAGAGGTCATGTGTTTTTCATTGAAGCTCATACAACACTGGCTTCTGTACATGGGCCACTGGGGTAGACCAGGTGGCTGAGTGAGGGCTTTGTAAATTAATTTGGCTTCTGTGCAACCCGAGTGAACATGCAATGGGACCTTTTGCAGGTAATTAACACTGTGGGTTCTTTTTGCTTCTTTTCATGAAACAACCTAAGTGTTTCATTGCTTTGTAGTCCATTCCTTTGTTTGTTCTGTTCCAATACTGCAGCCTCATCTTAACACAGCATTGTTCCCTAAGCACAAGCTAGGACTGAGCCAGGAAATCAACTTGAACACTTGACCTAGATGAAACAATTGCAAATAAATAAAGATGTGACTTTAAAGGATTTAGAAACTGACTGAACGGATATCCGCCTCCTAATCTACTTTGGTGGCACTGGGTCCATAAAGATGACCTTGAAGATTGTGGACAAGGAGAGGAGTCCTTGACGCTTTAGTTTGGCTTAAGGACAAGAACTCTTCAGATTGTCAGAGAGGGAACATTACATGGAGATGTGGTAAAGGGGTGTTTGCCTAGAAGGAAACATTTATCCCAGATCTGGGTTCAAACAAAGACAGCCTTGGAAAAGGATGTTAGCCTGTCAATTTTTTTTTGTTGTTTCTGTTTTAACTTAACCTGGCCTCAGTTTCACTCTCTTCTGTCTTACTCTTCCCTTGAAGACTTTCTTCTTTGGTGACTGTTAGTACCAAGTATCTGTTATTCCATTCCTGTCTCACCCCATCATCTTATACCAAAACATCAACACCAGGGGCCTCCCTAGTGGTGCAGGGGTTAAAGACACAGCACTATCAAGCTATCACCAGCTATTGCAACATGAGTTCAATCCCTGGCCAGGGAGCTAACCCACATGGCACAACAGACCTCTCCTATCTTGCCCACTGCTCCCCTCAGCAGTGTATTTCAGTCAGTCTGTCTGTTCTGCTCCCCACTCTGTCTCTGGTGAATCCTCTTACCCCCCACACTTTTGGCCTGTACTCCAGCTCTTGTATGCATAAATAAATACATCTTTAAAAACAAACAAAAAACATCATCAAAGCATCAGTAGTGAGAAGGTAGTAAACGTTTTAGTAAAGGAGCAAATGCAAGTGTTATAGGGTAACTCTGATGTGAAATGTGTCGCCTGACTGTGGGTCCTCACCCGTGCGCTTAAAAGGGACTTATAATGAGACTCAACTGCAGGCACACACAAAAAATTTTACCTCTTAACTGGAGTCTCTCTCTCTCTCTCTCTCTTTTTGGTTAATAAAGGGTATATTTATTTTTAAAAAATGGAACATAAAGAAATAAATAACTCAGGAAAAAAAGAGAGAAAGATAAATTAGTAAATGCATCCTATCTGTTCCACTGAGCTGGAACCCCAATAGCATGCTGAAAGCATGCAAAAAAAGCAAGGACCTCCAAAGCTCAGTCTGGTTATGCACCAAACCTGGCTGCTTAACTCCACCCTCAGTTCCCAGCAATCCTGCCTTTGGTGGTGATGACATTTTGGGATTTATAGTCCTTGTCTTAGATCTCTTTAGTCTGGGGTGGGGGTGGGGGTCCATAAAGTTTGTTGAGGACATCCTTCCTCCCCCAACACAAGGGGGAACAAACAACAAATAAGTAAACAATGAAAGACTTCAAAAAAGGGATTTGTGCTTACCAATGGAGAGGAGATTAAAGCAATGAAGTTTCTCTTAAATCTATATAGAACCGGGCTGTTGAAATTTGTTTTCACATTAGATACACTGCTTTTATATTTAGAAAAGTAAAAGTAAGCAACGACTGCTACTACATTGTCATTTATTGGATTACTAGCCCCGCGACTTCATCTCGCTTAGTGGATCTGATTCATGAACCAGTTTTGTGAAATAGCAGAGTTGCGTCAGCTTGAAAACCATGTGTTCCTCATTCATTGAACACAAATAATTCTCTGTTGATCTTTCTCTTTTATAACTTTATTGCAGCCTCCACTTATCTACATCTCTACAGTTTTTCTATTTGTTTTTAATAAAAGGATGAATGCAATCTTTTGCTTTTGATGTCACCTATTTTAGCATTATTGGGTTAACATACTGACAATCCTTGATTACTTTCTTTCCAAGGTAAGCTTCCCTCCCCCACTCCTTATTTTAATGGCTCATTTTCCAAATTACATGTCTGATACTTATGCTAACCTCATAATGTCCTTGGACTTTTGACCAATCTTCTGTATTTGGTGAGGTTCCCAGGACTGACACAAACACATTGGCAAATCTGTCTGAGAACTACCACAGACTGGTTGGAGT